GTTACAGACAAATGATATGGATGAAAAACAGCCAAAGAAAGAAGCACATAGGGCAGAGTCCAGAAAAAGTACTAAGCACAGAGCTCCCCTGTCTTCTCTTCATCAAGTTAGGACATGTCACTTTCCTGCCATTAATGTGTGACAATAGGCACAGAGTATTGCCAACCAGGGAAGCTCACCTGAGCATTTGGTCTTCAGAGGTTTTATTGGGGCTCATCCCATATGCCTGCATGGCTGACCTTTGGTCATTAGCTCCTCTCAGAGGTTTCCAGTCCCTAGTTTCCCAGAGGTCAGAACTCATACTGTGTGGCCCAGAGCTCGCATCATAAACCATGTTGTTAGATTGTCCAGTGGCCAAAGCCCCCAGCAAACAAAGACAGTTCTGTCAGGCAGGAATTCCAGGAGCTTAGAGATTATCTCCAAGAGCTAAGGGCAAAGGCCAGACCTCTCTTTAGATACAGTTAGTTCTTCACTATACAAGTATAATGACCCACCTCCCCTGCCTCTGTATATACTTATCATTCAAATTCAAAATTATAATACAATAATGACCTGTCTTATTTCATCTTACTTCATCTGATAGTGTGTTAGAGTCAACTCAAAATTCGTTCACAAAAATTATTAAATTTTTAGGCATTCCATAAGCTGGTTGTTAAACAGCCATTATAAAAAATTAAGTTTTATAAATGTATAATTAGATTAAAAACAAAGGTAATAAATACTCGAAACTCATCATTTTCTAATTATTTACTATATTTTACTATTAATATGCTCTTGATCTAATTTACATCTACTGTATCTACATGATAAAAATACTGTAGAATGACATGCTGCTATGCGTCTCTCCCCATTTCCGTGTTAAAAGACATCACAGTGCCAGCATGAAATTGACCATGGTAAGAATATTTACACAATGAAATTCAGCAAATGCTATGAATCAGGACTTTTTTTTGACATGCTTTAATTGAGGGAAACATTTTTCTGTTGATCCAACTGTTCCTAGAGCTGTAAAGAGTAAGCTATGACAACATTGGGATACATTTCTAACAAATTATTTCAAAATATCAGTTATGATTCTTCTGGAGCTGGTGATTCTGATGGAATAACTTTTCTAAAATAATTTAACACTTCATACAAAACAGTTTGGTTTAAGTCTGATTTTAATTTTAATTGTAAATCTATGGCATTTTAGTGTTTCCTCTAACATTTCCTATAAATTGTGGAGATTGTACAAGAAACTAAAAACTAAAAGTGGTGTTTTGATTTGTATGTAATTAAAATGTAAAATAAAAATGTATGTAATTAAAATTTCATTTATATGCAAATACTGTTTTTCTGTTGTACATAATAATCTTAAATTTTAATTTCTGTTTCTAAGACTGTGGACATTTGCTTTGCAATGTTGTAGCATTTTTCAAAACCAGAGATTCTAAATTCTTTGAAGAAGTATAGTAAGTACTTGATATGCTTTATTGCAATGTACATGTGTATGCTTTTATCTTGTCGTAATTCGCTGACAAAGTTTATTGCCTGTGAGCCAGAGATTGCAAGATCACAATCAATTTTGGATGCTCTTTAAATTAATTCTATGCAGATGCCAGAGATGGGCTCTGGGGATGGAAGGGGAGACAGTTTACCTCCAAGAAGACCCTCTCCTCTCTTCCGGGGCTGCTGCCACCACTACTGTTTCTGCTGCTTCCACTGCTGCCACCAGTCTGGGCCCTGATCTGGGCATAGCCATCCCTCAGATCACATGGCACATGTTCCCTGCCAGGTGGTGAGCCAGCTTCTTAGAGTGCAGTTTGTCTGTCCTACCATAGGCCCGTGGGGCAATGGGGTAGGGGTATTTTCATTTTCTTTTTTTCTAATTCTTGAACAGGTAATAGTTAAGTAACTGGACAACAAATTTATCTTTAATGTAAATTATGTTATCAGCTCTTTTCCTGAATTTCTGCCTTTGTAACTTTGCATTTGTTCCATCATATAGGGTATACCTGAACAGGTGAAAAAGCACAGTGGGCAGTAAGTTGAAATTTGTTTTATTAAAATACCTATTTGCCCTTGATTTATTTTTAGTTATGTCCTCATTTCTTTCAGGAATCTGGTCCATTTTAATTTGGATGAGTGACTTAATCTGTATAAGTCTTAGGCACTTCCGTAATAATTTGTTTTAAGTTACCCTGAGTGGACAAAAGGTGTCTTAGAAGGTAGTATTGTTCTAATTATAAATCCTTTAAAAATAATCAGAGGCTAAGTAACAAGAATTAAATCTAATTTCCTTTTGGGCCCCTTTATTAGCCAAGATGAGTGCTTTACATCTTAAGAGAGAAGGAGAAGAGATGAAGGAATTGTTTAATTTTAGAGAATATTTACTTATTGGTTTGTCTTGAGGTTTCTCACTATTTTCCAGTAAATTAATCCCAAATTCATCATCTCAACTAATAAGAATTGAGATGGAACTGAATAGAAGAAAGGGGAATGAACTCTGTGCTCAGAAACCTGGAATCTCACTTAGAGTTTTCCCTAATCTCTTCCCCTCTCTATTTCTTTTTTGTCTCGGCTCTGGAATTCTGATACTGTTTTCACCTAAAAAAGAAAACAATTCAGATAAGAAAGGGGTGGGCAAGACTGTGCCTCCTACAAGGGTGAGTTAAGGGTGATTTGAGGGAGAAAAGTTATGCTCTCTATAAAAATCTATCATTAGAGTCACTCTTTGGGATTGAAAAATTGTCTCTTGCAAGCCCTTATTAATTATTGGTAAAGATTACTATATAGGCCTATTATACCTGCTATCATATTAGCAAGGACCATTTTATTATCCTAGTTGGCTAATAACTTAGAAAGTTATTCTTATGGTATTACACACACACACACACACACACACACACACACACACACACACACACAAACTTTGAGTAGCTTTTGTCATCCAGCCCAGTATTTAGCACATTGTAGCAAAAGTATACCCCTCATACATATTTATTAAATTAACGGGCAGACAAAAAAAAGGCTTTAGTGTGTTCTCTGAGGAGGTGGTAGACCCAGGCATGTGTAGAATCGGGATATTAAAACTACCAAGGGTCAAAAAATGTTGATACAAGGATGAAAACATTTCTCAGTTACTGATTTTTCAAGTCACCAAAAAAAAAAGTGAAATAGGTCAAATGTATACTGCATTAGAATGTTTGTCTTAATTCATTGAGTTATCAACTGTTCAGCTATATCTTTAATTTTTAAAAAAGTAAATTGATATAGTAAAGAGTTTCATAAATGCTCATTCAGTATAAGAAAAAGGTATTTTATTTTACCTTTTTTTTTTTCTTTAGAGGTAAAGATTTTGGAGGAATGGAATAAACTGGCAAATTTTGTATTTTAAGTTTTTCTATCTGATCATGTCAATTTCCAGGTAACTTCAATAACACACAGCAATAGAAATTTACAAGGGGCTATAAAGAGTTAACATATTTTTTAAACCTAGAGAAATTCTAGTAATCATCACTCTGGGCACTTAACTTATTACATATTATAATTAGTATTTTTTTTTTTTT